GCGCGGCGCGTTCTTCCATCTTCGAACATGTGCACGACGTGCGTGGCCTACTCTGTCATATCTTCGCGGGGCCTCCGGGGCCTCCGGGCGCGCTCGGCGAGGAACCTCGATCTCCGTCGCAATCGAGAACGGCAGAGTCGCTGGAACCCGCGGGGAGTATATGACTAAGAGACCCTACCCCCTGGATCCACATTTTCCCGCTCTCCTCGAGATCCTGGCGCGCCGGCGGGCCCCGTTCAAGCTGTCCAGCCCGCGGTTGTGCGCGAGCGCGCATGGCTCCGCAGTCAGCTAAACCTCACCGTCAACACGAGAGCGTCAAAGAAATCGCAAGAGACTGACTGTTGTTGTCGCGCTCCTGCGCAATCTCCTGCAGCCATTTCAGCTTTCGCATCCTGCTTTCCAGGGCCGACGGGGCTGCTTCGACCTTCCGGAGTATCTCATGAGCGGATCAGATGGCAACGTGATCGGCTTGCTCGAGCCACTACGCTCTGCCTCCCAGAATCGCGCGACCCCCGCGCGCGATGAAAGCCTCGGGCTCGGCGAGGTCGCCGCTGGAGAGCGGCTCCGCACCTCTGACAATTGCCTCGGGCCCGCTCAGCGCGGCGTTGATTAGGAGGCCTTGAAGGAGCGACCACAGAGAACTCGATGTCCGATGCGGCCCAGAATCGCCCCGTGGAACAAAAACAATGCGCGGCCTCGGCAGCGCGAAATCGTCTCGCTAGTTCGGGCCAAGCTGCGAATGCGCTCGCATGTAGACCTCCTCGATGCCGTGCATTGCGTGGCATTGTGCCTTCGATGTGTGTGTGTGCTTCTTACGTGTGCGTCTGCTTGCGATGCGTGGCCCGCCCAGTCAGCTACGTTCTCCTGCATGCTGATGTCGTGCGTTGCGCCTGCGACGCCCGTGCCCGCGTCTACGGCGCTGCCCCCCGCCCAATTACGTAATTCTAGCTTGTCTAGCATGGTTGCCCTCAATGCTGGCCTCGAAGACTCTGCCGGACATGTCGGCTACAAGCCCTGTCATGGCCATCTGCTGGAGGCCCTCTGCGCCCCGCGGGGCGCCCGCCTCTGCGGCGACGCGCCACTTCTCTAGGGCGCGAAAATCGGCGACAGCGTCGATGGCGGGGCTGCTGGAAGCGGGGGCGGAAACGAGCGCGGCCCCGACGCTTCAAGGAAAAACGCCCTCCAGAGGTTTCACCCCGAACGGCCCCGACTCATCTCTCAGAAAAAAAAACCACCCAAACAAAAAAAAAAAAAAAAAAAAAAAAACAAAAAAAAAAAAAACGCCCTCTCGCCGCTCTGCCCCCGGCAAACTGGCAGCGGCTGGGAAGCGCGGGGGCGAACCTCGGAGTGCTTCAGACTATCGGACGCGCTGGCGGCGTCGCGCGCCCCGCCGGAGGCCTGGAGGACGAGATTACCAGCGCGCCCATCGCAGACTTGCGCCCCCGACGTCGCAGCCCTTCGCGGACCCGCTCCTCGGGCCCCCGCGGCGCGAACTTGCGGCGCAAGGCCGCGGCGCGACCGGCCCCGCCAACTGCGCGCATGATCGCGATGAAATGCTCGCCGCCGGCGTCGATCTCGCTGCCCCCCTTCGACAGCCCAGCCGCCTGAGCGGCGCGCCGCGTCGCTGGGGTGCGATCGTGTTCTCGGGCCGTGAAGAGCGCGGCGCGCAGTGGGCCTTGAGTCGCGACAGGCGCCGCGACAAGCGGAAAAATGTCGACTGGCTCGAACCCGATCCCCCGGCGTCGCAATGGTCTCCTCTCGTTGGTCCATTTCGGGGGGGGCAGCAGTCCCAGTGCTCCTGCAGGAATGCCCCGGGCCAGGGAAGGTAGCTCCTCCGTGACTTCGCCCTCCATGCGCAATTCAGCGCCATGTTCCAATCCTCACTGGCAAGCTCGAAGCTGCTGTCGTGATCGCGCTTGTGAAAGTCCTCACTGGCGATGGAGATGTCGACGTCGGCGGTGGCCGCGTCGGCGGCAGAACGGCCGCCTTGGCAGGTGCGCAGTCCCACGCGAACACTCCACCCGCGAGCAGATGCGGTTGAAATTGGCATGGCAGCAAACCGTAGTTGTCGAGGGCCTCGTCGGCGACCAGCAACGAGCCGAGCAATCTTCTGCGCGAGGTGCCCGTCGTTGTCCATGATGGTTTCGTTGAGCTCCTAGACGCGCCTGTCGGCGATGCTATTCCAGCATTGCTTGGCGCTTCTCTTGAGTTGCTTGCTGATACGGTCGATGGAGGTGCACATGTATTGGCGCTGACTCTCGAGCAGTGGCGTCGTGCACAAGTATCTGTAACCGCGTCTAGGACATAGAAATGGCCAAAACTGTACCATGAATTCGCATCCAGATTTCAACGGGCTCTGATCTAATACGGCAGCAGGTGTCTCATTCACAATGGTGACGCACTCAGCAGTCATTATGTCGGCGCCCCCTTCGCCTCAACCTCGTCTAGCATGTCATATGTGTTCATAACTAGTCGCTCCATCTCGTCGAATAGTTCATGGCTTTTGTATCAATGTTGTACGCAGCAGAATGGAACCTCACAGGCTGGCCGAGGTCGATGGTGGAGCTCGTGACATGAACTTGACGTGGACAATCAACTGAATCGCTCTATGGTCCTGTACCGTGGTGGTGTCGTGTAATTGCAGGGCTCGACCGGCTGCGCAGATGACGGTGAACTTCTCCACGCATTGAAGAAGCAGTTCCTGCGGAAGAATGAAGTGGTCAATGTACGACACGGAGTTGGAGCCAACATGGGATGGCGGATTGCAGAAATACGTGCTCGCGGCTACCAGGATCCATCCCGCGAGAAGCGGTCGTAGTACTGTGGATGATAACGGCTCGCGTCCGCAAGCAAAGGACCTCCCACCTGGCCCCCAGATGTCTTGACGACCGCGCCGTTGAGATCGGTGAAGATCGAACGCGCTGTGTTCAGCTTGGGCAAATCCTGCAATGTGCCGTGGGTCCTATCGATCATATTGTGCGCGGTCTGTTCGTAAGTCGGCCTGCGTGCCGTGGTGGTCTGCCTCAGTGGGAAGTACAGTCCAATACGTCTTCAGGATATCTCCCCAGTCTGTAATGTGATTGCCCCGCACTTGCCCATCAGCTGCTTCGGTGTGTCATGCGCTCCTTCAACGAGTTGTGCGGGAAGCGTTTCTTTTTGTGGCACACATGGATCCCGACAAGATGGTGTAACAGACTGGCCCCGCTTAGAACAAAATTCCACTGTTCAGTAGTTCTGCACATCTCTGGTGTCGTTGACGATGGACTCGTGCGAGAGGACAGGTGTACCGAGCAACTGGTGATGTCCAGAAGTCTTTCGAAGGCCCTCGCCGCACAAGGCTTGTATGATACCGCACGGAAAAGTCCTGCGGTCCCAACCGTCCACCTATTCAAGTGGGCAACCTGCCGTCACAGGCCCACGACAAGAGCAGCATCAGTCCGCATCATTGTGATGGCTCGGTGGAGTGCTGGAGGTGGCGCGGGTGGAGGTGGCTGCGGTTGGGTCACCTGGAACAGGAGGACCCGGAGGAAAACGAGGAGGAGGAGGAGGATGAGGAGGTTGCTGTCGTCGTTGTTGTTGCGCGGCGGGTGCCGCGGAAAACAATAATTAGAACCCCTCTCTAGTGGTGGGGCACCAGTCCTTCAAGTAGGCTGCCGAAAAAAACATTAGTTATCCCCTATGCGGGGAAGGATGGAAAAAACCCTTCGCGGCTAAGACGAAGCTAAGTGCAGACACAATATCGGACCGGGATACACCGGGAATCTCTGAGATCCGCTCGTTCCGTAGGGTGTATCGGGCGCCGCCGCCGTTCCAGAGATCTCCAGAACGCGCTGAGAGCATTCCGAAAGGTTCTGGAACGATTTATCCCTGTTCTAGACTTGCCCGAACTGGGCGTCCTTCGAGGACGCGCAAACATGGATCAAGGCGCGTGGATTACCAACGAATCTAGCTTCCATGCGAAATCGGCGCGTTCCGTCGCCACATCAAACGGCGCTGGCGCCATGTTTTGGGGTTGCGTTCCCCGATGCGTGGATCTGGCGCCCACGCGCCAGATCCACGGATCCCTAATCCATGTCAGCATGTGTCCGAATCTTAGAAGCTGGGGGCCTCCTTGTGCTTCCAAGACGGGGCCATAGAAGCTGGGAGGACTTCTGAGAAGGCCCCTGCCTTCTTTAGAGGCCTCCTGGATAGGGTCCGAATAGATGGGTCGGAGGATCGCGCCGCATCGCCAGTGTATCGGCGATGTATCGCCGACGTCGGCGACGCATCGGCGAAGTCGTCGTGGAGAAAATCGGGCTCCGCATCGAGCCGCATCGTCGATGCATCGGCGACGCGGCGCGATCCTCCGACCCCACCTACTCCGACCCCTATATGGGAGACCTAGACTTTTTAGAAGGCCACTCCCCTCGCGTTTCCCCCTCGTGCGCGCCGCCAACAAAGGTGACCCTAGCATTTCCAGGGCGGCGCAGATGGCCTCCCAGAGCACCCCTCCCGAGGCCTGGGAGATGCCCCTGAAGGGCACGAGAAGCTGGGTGAAACCTGAGACGTGGCCACCTGTGCTGGGCGTCGCTTCATGGGGGGGGGGGCGGCTGATCGGGGGGGAAGAAGTGCACTGGCCATCTTTTGGGCCCCAAAGGGCCCTTTGGAGGGGAGCTCTGAAGGGCCCCTTCAGGGGCCTGAAAGGGTCCATTCTCGGCAGCCCTCGCTGCCCCGCCCCCCCCCCATCTACCGCCCCCCCCCCATCGCGCGAAGCCCAAGGGCCATGGCCACCGATGGCAACCTCCGACCACTCCGGGGGGTGGCGAAGGCAGGTCGCTTCGAATCCGATCGCAGCTTGAGCAAGGAAGGCTGTGGATCCGACCACGTCGTCCTCCTCGGCCCGCTCCTCCATCATTAACTCTCCCCGCCCCTCTCTCTTTCTCTCTCCCGCTCCCTCTCAAGACAGAAGGCAACTATTAGCAATAGCAACGGAGGTACGCAGTGCCCCCCCCCAAGGCGACCGAGCATTCAATGATGCCGCCCCAGATGTTCACCATGGAGGGTGCTCGGGCGGCCAATCAACGCATGTGGAACCCACGGGGAAGATGTGGTTACTTGTGCGTTGTTTGCACGGGCGAACTAAAATTTAAGCGATCATCGGAACACGGTGCGCTGTGGTGATCTAAAACGTTACGTGCTGTTCATGCTTGTTTCATCAGACGCGTGTCGCGCTGTGTGCGGATCACACGTAATGCTGTAACGCATGACCGTTAGTATTACCATGTGCGCACACGCTACCGTCTTGGTACTCGCCATCTGTCCACCACATCTTGGCATTCCCTGAGCTCTCTGCAATACCAGTACACCCTCTTACCACATATTCATTGTTCTCCCGCACGCGATTCCCACGACATGTTCACTCACCCTGTTCGCACTGTGTTCACGCAGTTCCCACTGCCCATGCTGACTCTCACACGGCTTTTGTGCGAGGGCGTAACGCAACGACGGCGACTATGTAGTGGGAGCCGCGTCGCGACGCAATGTTTACCGTTCGTGGTGAGAAGAAGGTGGCTGTTATGCAGGAGTATGCTACGTATGAGAAGGTTCGTTCTTATATTTTCTTGGGATCCTCGCGTGCCTCTTACGGCCGGTCGCGTGACTTCCGGGGTGTGTCGCATGATTCCTCCTGGGCCCAGAGAACCCCGGCACGGGCCAAGAGGATCTCAATATGCCTTCATGTCAAGTCTCGGGAGGCTTTTGGGCAGTCTCGGTCCAACAAGTCCCGAGACTGCGCAAAAGCTTCCCGAGACAGCTCAAGATGACCCGACGATGGCGCAAGAGGCCTTCCAAATGCCCCAAGAGGGCTGTAAGAAAACCTGCAAGAGGGATCCACAAGGCCAACATCATTGAGTCGTCGCTAGAAGTCATGCCAAATAAGGGACGAAGACATTTCTCTGGCTACGGCGGGCCTCGTCCACGAACAGGTTCCCTGGCCCAGGCCCCTCCTGGGCCCAAAGTGGTCCTCATGTCAGCGCCTTGACTATACGTTGCCTTCGGTTCCCCTCCAAAGATTTAGCCATCATTTCGTCCATTCTGGCTTGCAGCGCTCGAGGGCGGCCCAATCTGCCCCCAAGGTCGCCCCCCGAGGGCTCAAGAAGCTCCCCAACAAGGCCCCGCGACGGCCCCAAGACGGCCCAGGAGGCCTCCGCGCGGCTTAAGAGGCTCCTCAGAGGGCGCCAAAAGGGGGGAGGGACGCAAAGGGACCTCGGGAACCGTTCCCCATAGGTTGCTCCCAAGATCCCCCAACACACACCCAGGAGTCAAGAAAATGCCTCGAAGAGGCCCCCCAGAAGAGCCCCCCAAGAAGCGCGTCGGCCTGCCCGTGAGCCACACCGGCGCTTCCGCAGAGGGCAGGGCGCGGGGGCGGTTCGCAACAGACGTCTCTGATTGTTCTTTATCGTGCACTGCTCCCGGGTGCATATTCTTACGTGCTCGTGCGGATGCCGTGGTCCTGCGCATTCCTACGCGTGTTCAGGAAACCTGGCATTGGTCACGCTCTGGGGCTCATGCTGGAACTATTGAACTGACGAGGACGGGGAGACAAGGAGGAGGCGGAAGAGGAGCGAAGAGCTATGGGGACACAGAAAGAGGACGATGAGGAGATGGCGGGATACAGCCCTGTGACTTTGGACGCAGGTCTGGCAGAGCCCAGCTTGCATCTTTTGTCTCCACGCTCCCCACACGCGGCCCAAGTAACCCGCGCTGCGCGCGCAAACCCGAAGCGCATATACCGCTTCGCTACTGGGCCACGCGCCAGTGCCAGCGCAAAAAACGAGCGAGAGAGGGATATATATATATATATATAGAGAGAGAAAGAGAGAGAGAGAGAGAGAGAGAGAGAGAGAGAGAGAGAGAGAGAGAGAGAGAGAGAGAGAGAGAGAGAGAGAGAGAGAGAGAGAGAGAGAGAGAGAGAGAAAAAGAGAGAGAGAGAGAAAGAAATACAGAGAGATCTATACACACACGCACATATATATATATATATATATATATATATATATATATATATATATTATATACAAGACTGCATTGGCGCTGCGTGCCATGCACCTTAGTCCTTTGGAATCTGCGCGCTAGCGGAGTGCGAGCGTGCGTACATGCGCACGCACATGCGTCCATGAATGCATAGTACATGTGTATATATATAAATATATACACACACGTTTGTATGGATATGTACATGTATATGTACATGGTCAGTGTAACTATGTGTGCGCATACACATGCGTATATCAGGCGGTAGTGGCCTGACCAGTTGCTCATATCATCGCGCCACTAAAAGGCGCGAGGGTTTCCGGCGAGCGCGGTCAGACTACCGTGGGACAGTGCGTCGCCGAGGTCAGTGTTGCGAGGACGTCCCGGGTGAAAATGGCCTGAACACCTCCGCTCAGGGGAGGGCATATCCGAGGTCAGCCGCGCGAGGAAGTTTCAAGCGAGGAGTGGTCTGAACACCTCTGCTCAGGGCATCCTTGAACGTAGAGTTGCGAGAAGTCGCGCGCGATAGTGACCGAACCACCATGGTGCAAGGCGCCTCCGAAGTGAGACTTGCGAGAGTGTCTCAGGCGACAGTGGCTGGAACACCTCAACTGAGAGCGTCTCGGGCCCCAGAGCTGCGATGATGTCTCAAGCGAAAACGGCGGGGCCGATGCGAAGCATGGCGCTTCTGAAGTCGGAGTTGCGAGCATATCTCTGGCGAGGCGGATTAAACTACTTTCCGTTATCTCCTCTTCCTCCTTCCCCTTTTCCTTTCCTCCTCCTCCTCCACCTCCCCCTCCTCCTCTTCCTCTTGTTCCTCCTCCTCTTCCTCTCCCCCCTCTCCGCTTCCTTTTTTGTTCGTTCTCCCCGTCCTCGGCGGCGCGGCGCGGTGCCGCTCGGCCTCTCTGCGAGTCGAGCGGCGAAGGGTGAGAGAACCCCCCCGAATTAGGAACTGTTTTTCCCTAGCCGCCAAGGGGGCCCGAAGGTGGTGCAAGAGGCGGCGCAGATTTTGAAACCCCCCAGGGGCTCCTCGGATTCGGCCGGCCCTCTCCGGTAAGGTAGGCAAGGGCGCTGCGTCCAGGTGCTCAATCCCCCGTATCCCCCTCCCCTCGTCTTCGCCCCCTCCCCCATGTCCCCCTCCTCCTCGTCCTCGCCCTCCTTTTCCCCCTCATCCTCCTCCTCCCACCCCCCTCCTTCTCCTCCCTTGACGTCCCCGCGTGGTTTTCGGGCCATGACTCGGGCCTCTGGGGGCCGTTCGCGACGTTTCCGGCGACCCCAGAACGCTTCCGGCGAGTCGCAGATAAGTGCTGATGGAAATCCCCAGGCCGGAAACCCCCCCAGAACAAACAATCCGAAAACCTTGGCCCTCCATTCTCGGTTCCTTTCTCTCGGAGGAGGAGGGGGGAAGGGTGAAGGACGAGGGGAGAGACAATGAAGATTAGTACGGCGACGACGACGACGACGACGGCGACGGGAGAAGGAGAAAAAGGAAGAGGAGGAGGATGAAGAGGAGGAAGAGGATGAAGAGGACAGATTATGTGGGCATCTGGGGCGCAGCCGAGGTGTCGCGGAAGAAATCCGCAGCAGAGACTTGGGAAAGTGAGGAGAGCTGCTTCCGCTAGACCTTTGGCGGGGCGGAACGTGAAACATCACGGGGAATGAGGAGGAGGAGGAGGAGGAGGAGGTAGAGGAGGAAGAGAATGAGAAAGAGGAGAAGAAGCTCTTGGGTCCTTCGGTGGTTTGAACGATGAATGGCCTCGCTGCGCCATTTGATACGACAGCGACGACGACAAAGAAGGCGACGACAAAGAGAAGGGATAATGAGAGGGGGAGACCGCTGTGTTGGGATGTCGTGGTGCGCCTCTCGGGGCCCTCTGGGAGGCAGTTTTGAAGCCTCTTGGGGGTGTTTTGGGGTTCTTGGGATCTTTTTGGGGCCTCTTGGGGGCCTCTTGGGGGCTCCTTGGGGCCTCTTGGGAGCCTCTTGGGGCCTCATGGGGCTCTCTCCGGGCCTCTTGGGGCCCTCTCGCGGCGGAAAATTTAGTTTTTGAATTTTTGGGCGCCCTCTTGGGTCTCTCTTGGGGCCGTCTTGGTGCTCTCTTGGGCCGTCTTGGGCGCCTCTTGGGCGGTCTCGGAGCCCTCCTGGACCGTGTTGGGGCCTTCTTGGGGGCCTCTTGGGCAGTACTGGGGCGATCTAGGGAGCCTCGTGGGCCATTGTGGAGCGTCGGGAAGCGGGAAGAGCGAGGAGGCCAAAAACATCGAAAAACACACAGGACAATCAACAATTGTAGCCTCTCGGGGCTCTCTTGGGAGGCCTCTTGGGGGTCTCTGGGGGCGTCGTGGACGCGTCTTGGGCAGTCTTGGGCCCAGATTGGGCGTCCTGGGCCGATCTTTCGGTGTCTCGGGGCCCTCTTTGGCCGTCGTGTTTTTTTTTTTCGCGTCGCACTCGCAGGACAGACACGGAGCACTCTGCAGGAACGCCCCAAAGGCTCGGGGAGGCCGAAATTCATGTGGGGGGGGGGGCACCGTGTGCTGTTTTTCCGGGGTCCCCGGCCCTGTAAAAATATGTAATAGGAATATGTATGTATGTGTATGTATTATATATATATATATATATATATATATATATATATATATATATATATATGCACACACGTACATATAGAGAGAGAGAGAGAGAGTGAGAGAGAGAGAGAGAGAGAGACAGAGAAAGAGAGAAACAAAAAGAGAAGTATAGACAGACAGTGGCGCGTGCATCTTCAGAAGCAGGTGTGTTTTCCATGTATGCATGTATGTATATGTCGGTACACACAGATCTATATATGTAGGTAAATCGGGATTGAAAGAGAGAGAGAGAGAGAGAGAGAGAAAAAAAGAGAGAGAGAGAGAGAAAGAGAGAGACAACAACAAAAAACATAGAGGGATATACTGAGAGACAGTGAGAGAGACATATCTTTAAACGAGCACGAACGGTGTAGGGGAAGTTTGAACGCGAGAGAGAGACAGAGAGAGAGGGGGAGGGAGAGAG